GAAGGATGAGGGGTTCCAATACTCCCAGTGAGCCCCTTCACCAAGCTCCCACACTTACCAGCCTCTAATCGCCCAATGTTGGCCAGGGAAAAATCATACTCACTGCTCAGGGGAGTCTCCTAGAGGAAGCACATGAACTGATGCTAAAGACATCTGAAGTCTCATTCTTTGTCCTACCTTGGCAGCCCTAACCTCCCTAGAGATGGTCCCCATGGACAATTCCTGATACTCTCAGAAGACAGCCCTTAAGCATAACTCTCACTTTCTCACTTCCTGTAATGTTTGTCTACATCTTCTAGACTCCCCTACCCACTTCCCACTAGTTGTCCTTTGCGCTGCCCTAACCTTCTCACCTCACTCCGCTGCCATCCACAGGGCTGGAAGGTGACCCTCAGGTTGCTGCAGATCAGGGTTCCAGGCAGTTCAGGTTCCAACCCTTTCCTCACCCCTGGGGCCCATGCTAGGATCTGCTCCCCTGCAGGGCAAGAAGGGAAGCCAGGTTATGACTGTTCCCAGTATTGCCCACACTTGTATACACCCACTCCTCTCAGACAGGAGGATCTAAAGAGGGAAGATTAAGATCCTCCCCTAACCCCACTAGAATGAAAGCTTAGGAGGAGAGAATTTATATTCTTTTACTCTAGAGCCTAGAAAGTGCCTGGGACATAGTAGGCACCCAAATATTTATTGAATAAGTAAATGAGAAGAAGAGTAACAGGGTCAAGAAAACAGAGGGACCATCAAGGTCCAAGCTCCCAGCCAGCCCTGGACAGAGAAGAGAGCAAACCTCAGGCAGAAGCACTTTGAGCCAGGAGAGGAGTACAGAGGTACCTTTGGTGAGGTTTGAAACAAGGTCTGAGGAGCATGAAATTTGGAGGAGTCTTTGGAGATCAGAAGTATTGGAAGGGCATTATTACCTTGGAGGCATCCAGAGGCCAGGCAGCTGCCAAGCTGATGACTCCTGGGCTCTGGCATCCCACTCCCCTGGACAGACTTTGGTCCAGAGAGCTGCGAAGGGTGTAGGGTTAATCCCTAGGCCTCTCCAATCCTGGGGTCTGGGGTTACTTCAGCAACCACCTCTGGAGGCCTACACTCAGACACTCAGGATAAACTGAGATCAGTGGCTGTGGGGAGCTCAGCACGGTGCGGCGGTGGGGGGGGGGGGGGGGGTTGGCAGATAGTTAAGGGAGGAGCTGGTTAATGGATAATGAGACAATGAACTTGAAACTGCAAAAAAGACCAAGCTCCATCAACTGAGGTTGATATGAGACACACCCTCCTCCTCCTCTAGATCCTTTTCTTCCCTCTTTCTCCACACCATCCCCATTCACACCCTCTTGCCAATGCCCCCCTCGCGCAAGCCCGTTTCCTCTCCTTACCCCCATCTCTGGCTCCTCCTTCTGGGGGGTGACGTTGAAACTCTGGCCCCGGCCCCCCCACCACATTTCTCTGGCTCCATCCGGGGATGGAGCGGTCAAGGGTGGGAAACCTCGAGGATGCTCAAGCCCCTTGGGGAGAGGCTGAATCTTGTAGATGGGAGGAGGGAAGTCAGGGAGAGGGGCAGGAGGAAGATTCAAGGGAAAGGAGCATTTAAGGTGCAAGGAGCACGCTTTGGGGTCTTTTGAAAGGTGTGTCCAGCCCAGCTAGAGAAGGCTCCTCGGAAACTTCAGTCGACTCTGGAGAGGGCGGGAGAGATGCCCAGCCCCTTAAAGGAGAATACACACAATTTTGGAAAAGTGGAGAGGAAGTGGAGGAGCCTAAGAAAGGTGAGGAAAAAATGGGGGAGTGAGAAAATACCCAGATTCCCCGCTTTACCCCAAACCCAGATCCTATTGTCTTCCTGTTCATGAGCATTGGAGACTGTTTGAGGGGAGCAGTAGTGCCAAATATTAAACTGGAATCATTGGGCCACTTCCCTGGACTCTCACTGATGGCTTCCCTGGGAAGCTGTTTTTGTTTTTTTGTCTTCTTAAAGGGGGTGGGGGTGGGGGGAATGTTAAAGTAGTGCAGACTTCCTTGCTGCCTCCCCTTACAGACCTAACAGAAGTGGTTGAGAAGAAATTTATTAATGGAAATTGGCCCTCAGGGTATTTTTGCCTGGGGAGGGAATTAGGGAGGAGGGTGAGTTAAAGTGTTTTTGTGTATCCTTCTCCAGAGAGCATGAAACATATCTCATGTGAAGGGTCCAGTGGAAAAGTAGGGAGAGAAATTGAAACATCTGCAGGATACAGACACAGGTACAGGTATGTTTACATGCAAGTTCTGGTGGTGGGGGTGGGAGGCTCAAGGAAAAGATCCACTTAATCCAACACACACACACACACACACACACACACACACACACACACAACCAGCTGGAAACTAGGGCCCATTCCAGGTACAGGAGCCCTCCCTCCAGCCCAGACATCAGATCTCCAAGTTAATGATTCATGTTAAGGACTTTGAAGGCTGAGGGTTGGAAACCTCTGTTAAGTGCAACAGTCCCATCCCCCCACCCTCCCCCTTGCAACCCAAGAAGCAAAGATGGGTGGGGAGGGCACTAGGAGGGAAGTAAAGGAACTGTAGGCAACGGTGACTGGGGGTAGGAACGCAAAACTCTAACTTTAGGTATGAAAAAGACAGAAAATAAAATACAAAGTAATGAATTCACGAGCTGCTGTTTTATTGATTTTGAGTTTGTACAGAGGCAGCAATTCTTAGGTGGGGGCCCCAGTTTTCTAGTGACAACTCTCTCTTCCCCCCACCAGCACACACACCCTTCCGGCCTCAGCTTTAAAAGTTCCCTGTCTTGGCTGCAACTGTGGAAATAGTGAAGATATTCTGAGGCAGGGAGTCAGTCTGGAACAGAGAGGCATACACCTGCTAGGAAGGTAGCCCAGAAGCCTGATTCTAGAAGTCTTAAAAGCTACCAAGCCCCGCCACCCCCACCTGCATTCCATCAGCCTCAATCTCTTGGGGGGAAGAAAATATTTCCCAAGGTCTGTGGCAATAGGAAGAGCTGTGTACCACAGTTTAAAAATCCATTATCCACTTTCCTTCTCCCCACCACCCTTCATTCAAGAGCCTCATTCTATTCTTTAATACTTGAGGTGTAGGAGCAGCAGAGGAATACAGAGAAAAAACATCAGGGGAATGGTGGAAGGTCACAGGCAGAAAAAAGATGGGTGACTTGGATCAGCACCTCACCAGGAATGCAAAGAGGGCAGCAGCTGAGGGTTAAGTAACAGGAGGATCCCCTCTGTCCATTCTACACACACCCAGTAGAGGTTTAGTGGATGAAAGGAAGGGTGAAGAGGCAAGGGGCTGTATCAGATTTTTCCATTTTCAGAATCCTGGTCTGGTTGCAGGTTTGTGCCAGGAGTGAAGGCTGCTGGGAGGGGCAGCTAGAGGAAGGAGGTGGAGCTGTGTGACTCACAAGATGAGTCACAGATCCAGTTATAAGCACAGAAAAGAGGCCAAGGTCCTCCCCACCCCCACTCCTCTCTGCGCCACTGTCAGCCAGCTTCCCTTTCTCTTTTCTACTGCCCCTTACCCAAGTGGCCAGTGAAGGGAGGTGGCATGGAGAAAGTCTCCATGGGGGATGTCATATTTTGCTAGTCAACTTAAGTTCAGGAGGCAAAACAGCCTGTAATTTGCAGACCAGGTATCTACAAAGTGAAAGAGACAGACTGCCTACATGAGTCACTGAATCTGTTGTTGAAGGGCCTGGAGGGAAAAGGAAATTAGAAAAATCTGGGGTGCAGGTGATTCCAGGCCGAGAAGGGGCTTCTGATTCTGTCTTCTCACCTCTGGTTGTGTGTCTGGGGCACTGACTCCTTAGAGAAAGAAGAGAACACAGAGTCCAGAGGTGTCCGAGTAACTGGGGACAATTATCTTTGAACCTCCTTTATTGGGAAAGATAAAATGTGACTGGAACCTTGGACATGTGGCTGTTTAGAAAGTAGTAAGAATAGCAAAAGCTAGGTTCTCAGAATTCATTCAGCTCCATTCTTTCCAGCTCAGTATCATTCTCAAATATACAACAAAAAGTCATTGCTAATTTCTGTTGTGTTCGTCTGTGAGCTTTAGTTTCACTTGAGAAGAAACAGCCAACAGGAGAGGGAAGGAACTTCCCTCCAGGCCCTGTACAGCACTGAGTTAAACACCATCCGCACTCCATAAAGAGACTGAATCTTAAAAAAAAAAAAAAACAACAAACTTTTAATATAATCTTTTACTTTTGTTTTAGAATCCAGTGTGAGGGGAAAACGTTTGGTTAAATCTTATAACTCTCAATAAAACCAGCATAGATTAAGGGAGGAATTTGGAGGCCTCTCCTATTGTATACTTGCTCCATCAGGGCTGAGATGGAGAACGTAGGGTGGAGGGGTAGCACTGTCTTAAATCAAAAGGGGAAAAATAAGAGGCCTGAAAAATCTTCCCTCTCCAATAAAAACCTCAGTAGGTACCCCAGTGCCTGGATTAAAGGAACTAGGTGCACTTATTTAAGCCTGAGAGATATCATCCCTCATCCAGTGTTGAGGGGTCTGCCTCCCCCCTTCACCCACACCCTCCTTAACTAAGGAGTTTGGCTCATTTTGAGTGCACATCATGTACTCTTCTCCTCCCTTTTCCCCAACACAGTAATTGCATGAGCTTGCCTCTTCCACCCCCTCATCCTCCCCAAATACCATAAACCAACTAGAGTCTGTCTTCATTTTGCAGGCATTATTTTTTCACCACCCTCCCATTCCACAGCCCTCTCAAAGGATGAAGCAAAACAAACTTTACTCACCCCTATGGAAAAACATCCATTGACTCAGGGTCCCTCATCTTTAGAATAAAGAGGGTGTTTTTTTTTTTATGTGTCAATAAATAGTTACCTTCCCAAATTAAAAAAAGAAATGTATTTCTTAATGAAAAAGCTAGAGGGTCTAAATAAAGCTCTATTTTACCATATTCACCCCTAGGCCACCCACCAGAATTTCCACCTTTTTTATTTGAAAAGAAGTCAAAAGCAATTGGGATTGATTCATTTATAAATCAGAACAAAAGCAAACATGACACAAGGTTTCCGTTTTTGTTCATTTGTCCTCAGTTTTTAAAAACAAAAGTATTAACTAGAATCTAATAACAGGTCAAATCCAAACACAGCAGTCCAGTGGAGAATCAACTTTCCTGGTTTTATTCTCTGGGAAAGTCCCTGGTCTGTTTCCATTTCTATTGGTCCAGGCCAAAATCCTATGATATAGATGGATGCCTATGGGAAAGCTAGGTGAGCTATGCAAATTCTTGGTGTGGGTTTGAGCCACCTGTTGTTTGGGTGCATGTTAGGGGATGAAGTTCATAAGGTGGTGGTCTCACCAGTGCTGTTCTAACCCCGGAAACAGGGTAAGGTGAGCAAGGCACTCACTTTGGGCACAAAATTTAAGGGGTGCCCCAAAACCCAGTAACCAAGATACTATTTTAACACAGTATATTTTGAAAATCAAAACTAATGTAAAAAAATCCACAATGACTAAAGTATCAAAATTTTAAATAAAGACAGGATTCAACCCGTACTTGCTCAATTCAGTGTTCCTACCCTCACTCTAACCCCAGTCCTGTTGGATTCTGTCTTTTTTAAGATTCTGATATTTTGCTTGTCATGGATTTTTTGCATTAATTTTTAAAAATACTGCATTAAAACAGTATTTATCTTGATTACTAAGTTTTTGGTATCTCCTTAAGTTTTGAACCTGAGGGGCGTGCTTGTCTCACACTAGTCCCAGTCCTGCCCAGAAATATATACATACCCTCCACCCTCCTTTGGAACCTATCTCCTTTGACCTCATCTCATTGCTTCCTTAACACCAGGTTTGTTTTCAAATAAAAGCCTAAGAATTAACAGCCATGGAAATTATTAAATCAACAATCAGATTTAGAAAATAAGTGACTTTTCAAGTTTGTTGAGGAGAAAGGAAACTTTCTAAATTGTGAGCAGTTCCAATGTATAGGACAGTCTTGGCTGGCTTTGTTACCAAGGAGGAGATGGGATGACAACTTTCCTGATTGGGCAGAAGCAACACAGGGCAAACACGAGTCCCCCTAACACACACACCCAGCCCATGTCTGCCTTGGATCAAATGTGGGGATTACATTCCACAGGATGGTTTATGAGTACATACCTCAAAAGAGAAATCCAAATACAGAAAAATAGGCCCAATTAACACTCTGGACACTTAAGTACACTTATTCCCCTTCCTCATATGCACCCAGGAGTGTATACAATTGCATAGTTGAGTTTTTTTCCCCCCAGAAAAAAAAAATTTAAAGAAAAGGGAAAATTGGCCCAGGATAGGTCCTCCAGTTTAAAGCTCTTAGAAATGGTGCTGGCCAGAGCATAGGCTGGCCAGACTTGTGCTTTGTGCAAAATGCAAAGGAGCTCCCCGCTACTGTGTCCACAGACCCACTCCCATCCTCTGGGGAAAAGGATGGGGGGGGCAGGGGGAAAGGGGGAAACCCAAAAACAGATCAGCTCATTGGGAGTAATCTGTGATCTGTGGTTATAGTTCACTAAAATATATTTCTCTACCTTTTTATAAATTGCCCCTAGCCCCTACCCCAAGTTTCAACATCAGTCCTATTATCAAAAATATCTCTTCTTACAAAGTATTTTTATTATTTTAATAAACTAACCACAGATTAAGGTCAGCTATGGCTTAACAAAAGAAGCCGGGACGTTAAGTTCATTCTCCAAAAGTAGAGAGGAAGGAGAAAGAATCACTTAAATAGGAGGAAAAAAAAATATTTTTTAAAATGTTTTTGCTTGCTGGGGTCTTTTTGTTTCTTTTCTTTAAAAAAAAAAAAAATTCCAAAAAATAAGTTGCTTTCTACAGAAACACAGCAGCAGAGGATGGTAGTGCTCTATTTAGGTTTTTGGTTTTGTTTGAAACAGTCTGGCCAAAAGTCTGTCCTCCTCCCACCCCCCTCCCAAGGCGCACTCAAACCCCAATATGTGGTTATTGCTAGTAGTTAAAAAAAGATCACCTCTGTACCAATTCACCTGGAGAAAATTCAACACACACAGCTGCTCTTCTCATCATTCTCTTGCCTTCCCCAGAGGGAACTTCTGTTGTTGTTGTTGTTTTTTAATAAAATTAAAGTCTTAAAAAAAAAATCACAACCTTCTTAGCTCAGCCGTCAAAAAGGATGAGAAAAAGATAGGGGGCAATTGGCAATCTCCTCCCGAACTAGAAGGGATGACAGATAGCTGTTTAGAAGGAAATCAAACTCAAGAGGAAGAAGATTCCCCTTTTAAGTTTCTCCCTTTCCCATCTCACTAAACTGATTTAAGCCAGCCCCCTCCTAATAAGCATCCATAAGCACATGTTACTGCCTTGTCTTTCCAGATCCTTCAAGAGGAAAAATTTATCCAACACTAAATTTCTACCTTAATTCAACTCAATAGAAAATTTGACTAATTTCCCAGTTTCCCTCCACACTCCCAACTCCACCACCATGTGCTTTTTTCCAACCTAAAAGAACTTTGGTCTGTTTTTTTCTTTTATTGACTGAGAACCTCCTTTGCCAGTTCCTCCCCCAGACTCCTGCCCACCTCCCCACCCCCTCACATCAAATCTTCCCTTACACTTTCCCTTAGGTCCTGGGATGGACCCAAGGGATTATGACACAGAATTACCATCTTTCCCCGCTTGTACCTCCTCAGTACCATTAAGTCAAGATGGGCAAAGGACCAGTAGAGCCCTTGAGGCACCATCCAGCCCTGACCTGCTCTTGCCAGCCTGGCAGCTCTCCAGAGCATACACACTTAAAAGTTTCTGGCCAGGTTCACACAAACATTACTGCATTTGCCCCATCAACATGGAGGCTGGGTCTCATGAGCCAATTAATTGAGCTTAACTTTCTTTGTTTAGCCCCCTTGCCCTCCAGGGTTTCCCCATTCAGAACCTGTGCACCAGCAGCTCCCCACCCGGTTCACGTTCCCTTCTCCTCAGTTCTTCCCTGTAACAGCAGGAGCAGAAGTTGTTTGTCTCAGGGTGTCCATAGAAGCTGCAGTTCGGTTGTTTGCATTTGGTCTGGGTTGGGGGAAGCCCCCGGGGACCTCCAGCCCATCCATCTGGCTCAGGGGGCTCTCTGTAGCCGTTGCTATAGGAATCAGCCACGCGGAAGTGGGGTGGTAACAATGCACCCCTGTGAACTCCATCCTTGGAGTGACTGCCTGGCTCCAGAGAAGGGATGCTGTCCTGATGGGGGTAGGGTCGCCCAGGAGGGCACTGTCTGGGGAAGGTGGCATATGGTGGCAGGCCCCCCCCACATGGCCCCCCTGCCATCTGCCTCCGGGGCTCCTGGCAGTGGACTCCACCCCCAGAAGGTCGAGGGATAGTAAAGCCACCAGGGTAGCCAGTAGACAATGCCACCGCCTTGGACTCTGCTGGAGGGGCAGTCAGCAGCTCCTCCCCGCCATCTGGCTCTGGCTTTTTGGCTGGAGGAGGCCCACTCCCTACCCCTCCATTCATGATCTTCCTCTCTGCCTCCTTCTGCTTCTGCTCTGCCAGGAATCTCTCCTCAGCATCAGAAAGGTAGCGTTGGATCATCTCCTCCTGATATTGGTGACGGTGACCCATCTTCAGGGTTCCAACAAAAATAAACTTCCCCTCCCCTTGCATTGCAATCCTCAAAATGCTCAGGCTTTGCATCACCTCCTGGCTATACTTGCTCCCTCCATTACCAACAGACTCAGATGTGGGCTTCTCAGTTACAGGCCCATCCCCAGCTGCCTCCTCTTTGCCACCCTTCCAACTCTTCAGTGAGTTTTTCTTCTTCTTCTCCAGTGTCTCAGTGCCACTGCTTACCCCCGACCCTGTTCCCATCCCTCCAGGCTTAGAACCCTTGCTGTGCATCAGGCCTCCCATGTTCTTCTTGAGCTTGCTGCCCAAGGTTTTGCCAAAGCTGCCCAGTTTGTTAGCCACAGAATCTGCTCTTTTCTTGTCCTTTTCCCGGTCTCGTTTTGACTTCTCTTTCCGCTTGCTGCCCTCATTGCTGGCAGAACTGCTGCCAACTGACTCCTTGTCTGATTCCCCAGACTCAGGAGTGGACCGGGGCTCATCTCCAGCTGAGGCTGTCGGGGACTCAGGCTGGGCCAGGGGAGCCTGGAAGAGACAAGAAAGTGGTTGACAGATATAGGATGGATAAACAACAAGGTCCTACTGTATAGCACAGAGAACTATATTCAATATCCTGTGATAAACCATAATGGAAAAGAGTATTAAAAAAGAATTTGTATATGTGGATAACTGAGTCACTCTGCTGTACAGCAGAGATTGGCACCACATTGTAAATCAACTATACTTCAATAAAAACAATTTTTTTTAATTAAAAAAAAAAAAAGAATGTGACTGACAGTTATCCCATTGGTTTGGGTTGAGGGAAGCCCCCAGGAACCTCCAGCCCATCCATCTGGCTCACGGGGCTCCCTGCAGCTGTTGCTATAGGAATTAGCCATGTGGAAGAGGGGTGGTAACACCGCTATGAACTCCTTCCTTGGAGTGACTGCCTAGTTCCAGAGAAGGGTTGCTGTCATGACAGGGGAAGGGTCACCCAGGAGGGCACTGTCCTTCCCCAGCTCATCAGCTCTCCCATGAACCAGGGAAAGAGGTATCTAATATCTAACTTTTATCTCACCCCCTGCAATTTGATGCCCTTCTGTAATAAGGGGATACCAAAATGAAGCCTGGATTTTGCTCTTCTAGAACAATGAGCAACTATACAAATATATGGCCTCTGGGTGAGGAGGGAGAATATTCTATAGACACTAGAATGGCCTTTATTATAAATTTCTCTATGCCAAATTCTGCTCAAAATTAATCTCAAGGAAGTCTTGAATAACCACCCCAAGCCTTAACCATTCTGCATCCCCTCAAGTTCTAGACATTCAGCACTGGAGTCCATCAGTTGGCCCTTGCTCCTGTGTTCCTGTTCTATGGATAATAATGACATCCTCAGAACCTACTGTATCAGGAGCCCTTTAAGCTATTCTGTCTCCTCTGGTGCCCAACACAGAGGTCTATGTACAGAGGGCTTGGAACAAAGTAATAACAATCTCAAGTTCACCAAAAAGTTCAGAAAACTTTTCTTGAAGAATGTGTTTTAGTATCAGAAAGAAGAGCCTGGCCGGTGAGAAGATATAGAAAACAAAGGGCACTAACACGTAGAAAGGCAAGAAAAAGTGTCGTTTGGAATTTATCTGATATTTTCTAGGTATTCCTAACCTTGAATCATAAGCCACTACTCAGAAGAGACTCAGAAGGAACCACCACCAGATTTCCTTGTTCTCCCTGACATGAAAATGAGGACATGCAAGGGTGGGGTGGGAGAAGTCCTCACCTGTGCATCCGAGGACACTGGGATCCACTTCACATTCATGTAGCCATGCAGCAGATGCAATTTGACCTCTAGGGACAGGATTACACTGTGAAAAGGAGAAAAAAAGAATTTCAAAATACTGTGACCTTTAAAAAGCAGAGCAGTGTGATCCATTTGGGAGTAGGGTGGGAGAGGGCTACATGGCTGGGAACTCAGACAGGGTTGAGTTTGAATTAGGGCTCCACCAGTTACTAAGCTTTATGACCTTCAGCAAGTCACTTCAACCTCCCTGAAACTCAGGGAGGGGTTGATAATGGGTATAGATAATAATATCTATCCTGCAAGGTTGCTGTGAAGATTAAAATAGTATTTGAAAAGGGCCCAGCACAGTGTCTGGAAACTAGGAAATACTTCTAAACGGCAGCCACTATTATTGTTGTTGCTGTAAGTATTACTCAGAAGGAGCTTTTCATAATTAGGTGAGAACTATTTAAAAAGCCATAAACGCTGGGTTTTTAAATCAAACCGTCTCAGTTGGGTTCAGTTTTAGGAGCCCGAAGAAGGCGGCACTGGCTAAGAGGTAAGGGAGGAGCTTTTACATTCATAAGCTCTTATGGGAAGTTTGGAGGCAGGAGGAAGCCAACTTCTGGGAGGTGGCAGGGGGGCGGAGAACATATTTTTCTTGCTGTTTAAGTTCCAGAAAGGCAAAAGCCCAGACCAAACTGTTTTGGTCAGCTATTTAAAACCCTTCTCATTTGGGCTGGGAGAAGTGTGATTTGATTATCTTGATTTTCTGATCACTGTTTTGGGGATTCTGCAAGAACACTCCTCATACTGTAAGGAGATCCCAGGATTCCCTTGTCTTTCACAGGGAGAAAAGGCAGCTGCAAGAGTCCTGGTGCCCAATCTGTCTCCCTCCTCTCCATCTTCCCAAAGACACTGGAACTAGGATGCGACTGTCTTTGCCTCTGAGCTGAGGAAAAGTCCCCGGGAGACGGACATCGGACATCATATGTGGAAGAGATCGCAGCTACAAAGCAGATAGAAAGGCTAGGCTTGCCTCACCTGGCCAATCGGACATTGTCATTGTCATCTTTGCCCCACTCCCAGCCCTTTCCAGGGTCCACAGCAAAGTGCAAGGGCAGCAGCTTATGCTCTGAATCTGTAAGTGGGATCACAGCTGGGAAGGAAAGAAACATGATCAAGGAGTCTCTTTGAGGAGAGAGGAAGGCAACTGAACACAGACTGACTTCAGTGAAAAGGAGCCTGAACCATACCAAAGGTCTCTAACTGCAGTCACTTCTCAGTTCGTAACATGTGAATTACCTTAGCATTTAAAAACTTAACAGGCAGGTTTTCCCTTGTAACCCAGCACACAATTTAGGCCACTAATCTCCATGACTTCCCACCAGTCATCTAGCACCTATGATGTTCTTGCCAGTTAACGGAGATTCAGGGAATTCAAAGTCATTATCAAGACAAATATAGCAAAGCATCATTTGGAAGGTACTATGACCTTACTGTATTAGCTCTTTACTCCAGAGCAGGGAATACAGGCTGTGTTTTTCTCCAAACCTTTTTTCTTTTTTTAATTTTAAAACCTCTGTATATCTTATAGCTTAGTAAAACAGTATCAACATGCACTGTCTGAGCTTGCATGTCGCTTAATTCTTTCCTCCTACATTCTCTCTCATTTCAGTTTTTCGAAGTGAAAATAAAGCGGACCAAAAGACACCAGAGACACAGACATTGCATTCCGCACCTTGTTCCTTGGCATTCTCCTTCTGTTCCATGGACACAAGTGCAGAAAAGTGGGCCTGATCGTAGGCGAGCACCAGAGGGGAGCGGTGACACTGGCTGGCTGGAACCTCCAAGGGCAGATAGATTCCCCCAAAGGGAATAGGGGCAAATGCTGCAGGAAACCACGGAGATTATTATTAAGGCTATATTCTTGCCTAGTGGGAAATCCCTCCACCCCACTCTGCCAATTGAGCCCCCCTCTCATTCCAACCCATGTTTAATAATTCTTTCCTAAGAAGCCACATCAATTAACCTCAGCTGCTTTACTCTGAATCTCCTGAGAATTTTGCCTTGTTCTAATTTATACCTTGTTTTTTTCCCAAGGGTCTATATAACCCCTTTCCTGCCCTCCTTCCAGTGCTTAGCCCAAGGCTCTGCAAATAGGGCTGCTCAGGGTAGAGTGAGGACTGACTGACTCACCTTCCCCACCAGAGTCCCTCAGCATGGTGTCTGCCACAACAACTATGGGCCTCCTAAGCACGTGGGCAAGGACGAAAACATGGAATTCTTCTAGGCTCTCATACACAGGCTCTTCTGAACTCTCCACCCTAGAGTTGCAGGAGGCGAGAGAGTGGAAGGGGTGCAGTGGCAGGGAGAGGGAAGAAAACAAAACAAGAGACCCATGAAGACCAGCTCTGCAAAGAGGAAAAAACGATATCCCTTCCTTGTTTTCCAGTCTTAAGGCTGTCACACACACAGCTGATTATTTTTTATGCTACCATGGCTGTTTCTACTTCCGTTTCACAGATGGGGAAATACAAGAAAAGAAATATGAAGGTTCAAGAGTTAAAGTAGTGTTAGGAATCGGCACGTAATCCCTCTCTTAATACCCATCTTGTTCAACAACCTTCCCCAATTCTTTGTCCAGTAGCTCAGTGTACAGCTGTGTAGCTTCATCCTGCTTATCACTTTACGCACCACAACGCACACATCACACTCACCATGTCCTATCAAAAAAGGACAAAACAAAACACAACAGGAAAGAAACAAAAATCCCTCCTTCTATGTTCACTTACTTGAAGAACAGCCTCACCCATCTGCTTAGTAGCCTAATCAGAAATCTGTGAAATATTTACTGTTCTTTATATTTCATCTTCAATTAATCACCTGGCTTGACCAATTCCATCTTTTAAGTGTCTCTTGTAACTGTCTCCTCTGGCCTATCTGCAACCCACCACTCTTGCTCACACCCATTACTACTACTCCCCTCCGCTTCATCATCCACTCTGCTGTCAGTGTGTTCAAATACATGAATTTGCTCCCGTCACTCACAAACTCACAATTTAGTGGCTTCCTGCCCCCTAAAGCAATGTTATTCAACATTGGGTGCTTGCTACAAATGCAGATTTCTGGGCCTCACCTCAGTCCAACTCAACTGGACTTCCTTAGGGTGGAAGTCCAAAAATCTGCATTTTAAACAATCCTCCCAGATTATTCTTACGCCCAATAAAGTTTGGATAGGTTATAGTTTTTTAACTTTCTAACTATAGAAAAATTTAAAATTTTAAACATATTCAAAACTAGAAAGAATATTATACTAAACTCTCATGTATCCATCACCCAGCCTCAACGATTATGAACAGATGGTCAATCTCGTTTCACCTAGACCTTGATATATTTTCCTAGGGATGGCCCCCACACCCACCCCACCCCACCAGATTATTCTGGAGCAAATCCTAGACATCACATAATTTCATCCATGAATATTTCAGTTTCAATCTCTAAAAAATAAAGGACTCCTTTAAAAACGGCCACAATAGCATCAATACCATACTTTAAAAACTTAACAATAATGTAAACATTATTCACATTTCCCCAACTGTCTTGTATATGTCCATACATTCCAGCTGGTTGATGTGTCTCTAAAGTGTCTTTAAACTTAGGTTCTTTCTCCCTTTTTGTTTTCTTTGTCTTTATTTATTGAGGAAACCAGGTCATTTATCCTGCAGTTTCCCAAAGTCTGGATAGAATACAATTTTAATTCCTTAGCATGGCACACAAAAATCTGGACGGCCTAGCCTCATCTACCATTCTGCGCCACATACTCTATATTCTGGCAATACTGAACTACCTGTATTTCCTAGAACGTACCATGCTATTACACCCTTCTGTGCCCTTGCCATGGCTTCTCTTCCTCTCCTTCTAACATCCTCTTAGCACAGAGCTCTTTGGACACTGAGGACTCAGCAAAGATTATTTCCTGCTCCTCCAGTTAGACACACTTACCCACCACAGTTGGCTCCATTGGTACCTAGATGCATGCGGGGTTCACTTGAGGCAAGCTTGATCAGCTCATTCCATTCCTTCTGCCACTCATCCTCTGTGTATACCAGCCCCGACTGTGTGAAAGACAGGCAAGGAATATCAAGCAATTAGAGGCTAGGTTCAAGAGGCAATAGCCATTCCAACTCACTCGTGTTACTCCACTCCCTATTCTCTTACCACTTGGCTAACAATTTTTACTACAAAGTCCAATCTCTTCTCCCTTTTATAGTCAGGATCCATGAAAGAATGTCTATGATCACTCACACTTCTTCCATTCTTTTCTGACCCACTGCAGTCTAGCTTCTGTATCTGCCCTCCAGCCTATGCCCCCTCCCTCACCCCCACAAACTACTTCACCTAACTGACTCTAGCAAAGACAATTACCTTCTAATTGCCAAATTCAGCAAACTCTTCAGTTCTCATCTTTCTTAGCCTTCATGTGGCATTTGATCTCCTCAAACTTTCTTTTCGTTTAGCTCACACAACACTACTTTCTCTTACCTCTCTGAACTCTGTCTACCTCAAAAATATTGATGTTGTGTCAATGATTTTAGCCTTGGTTCTTTCTAGGTTATCTTTTCTACTACTATAATCTCATCTACTGCTATCTACATGCTCAGGATTCAAAAATCTTCTTCTCCAGCCCAGATTTCCTCTTAATTTCTATGTTCACATCCAGCTGCCTACTGAAGACTGCCACCTGCCCATGACTACCTCAAACTCTGTGCAGTCAAAACTGAACTTCTGCCTCTTCAAAAACCCTCTCTTCCTGTTTTCCTACCTTTGTAAACAACACTATCACCCAAACACCCAACTAGAAACCAGGGGGTTATCTACGACTCCTCTCCTTTCACCCATCCCATACCTGGGATGGGTGAAAGGATTTACTAACCCTTTAGTCAACAGTTATTAAGCATGAACTACGGCAATGGACCCTTAATTGGTTTTACTACTTCCAGTCATACATTCTTACGATCCGTTTTCTACAATGCTACCAGAAAGATTTTTCTAAAATTAAAATATGATGATGTTTGCTTCCTGCTACAAATTAAGACCTGTCATTACCTCTTAGATACAGTTCAAACTCCTTAAGCATAGCAGAGACTCCACTTCCTGGCTCCCAACCCACTTCTCTAATACCATTTAATTAGTCATAGTTCCTTGAATGCACTGTGTTGTTTTATACTTCTGAGCTTTTGTCTAGGTTGTGCCTTCTGCCTGGAGCAGCCCACTCCATATCCACCTGGTGAATAATTTCTCAACTGTCAGGAAAGAACTCAAGTATCACTCCTCTATGAAGCCCTTCCTAAATCTCCCTGGTACATCAACCACTCACTCCTTCCTTTGTGCTCTCCCTCCTCAAGTGCTATGTAGACTTCTATCATAGAAGTCATAACCTGTTACTTTGTTGCAATTATGTATTTACATGTCCATCTCCTACTACTACTCCTAAGAACCAGGACCATGTTTTATGCAATATGCCTAGTACCTACTATGTGATCAGTAATCAGTAAATACATGCTCAGTAAAACTATTAACTTTTTATTAAAGGAGTAGAAGGAGTAGTACAAACAATCTTAAAATACCATATTGGCTTTAGGATGTATATGATGATTTGGAAGAAAGTCTATATTATTAATTATATTTGACCTATATAAGTGTTAAAATGAGTTTATACTTTAAACACATATTGACATAGTAGAAAGAATCACACTGGAAACATGAGAAGTATCAGAACAAATTTAACAGGAATTAAAGAGCTATTGTGACCACATTTTACTTTAACAATAAAAAAATAGACAAAGCTATTTTCAATGTGTAAAATTCTATCACAGATTTTTTCAACTAAAAATACAAAAGAACAATGCACAGGTTATATATGGGGTGCTCTGGTCACTCTGATAAATGGTCCCTGATACACATTCATGAGGATCTGTCTCCGTCTTGCTCTCACCTATTTTTGTTTGCTGTTTTTATACACACAGCCACTAGGTGGTGTACCCTTCTAGGCTGAAAATGTTCTTACTGTGTTTTACCACCATTTTTAACAACAAAACAAGGAGGCCTGGGAAATCAAAACCAATTTAGTTTGTTTGGTGTTTGGTACTGGCTAAAAGTAGCTCTGCAGTCCGTCACCCCCTTCCCCACCCCACTATAATGCTATGAATGGTGTGAGCTAAAACAATTATCTTGTTTCCATGTGGAACTTTCAATGTGCTGAGCAAAAGGAGTAAAAAGATCAGTCCTTCAATATCTACTATCCTCCAGGCATGTATTTCCATTTGAGGACTTTGAGAGGGAATAGATAGCTGACCAGGAATAGAACTTGGGTATTTCTGGGTCTCCTGGCTAAATACCATCATAATCTAACTTAACCTTTAAAATAGTAACTATAACAGCTTAATATAGCTGGAATTGGGCCTACCTATCCTCTGACTGTGGCTATCACGTCTACTTTACTAGCTGGCATGACCTGGTTTGGTCTTTTCCTGTCTCTGAAGTGGTCAAATCTAAGGTTCAGGTATAGCCTGAATTCAACAATGAGGAAGGCAAACTCTAGGCTGGCTCTAGCTCAGACAAAAAAAGCTCTCCACATAGTCCAGCTCAGCTCACCAGACTGCCAGGGGGTTTGGTGTCAATAAAGAATGCTGTTTACTTGGCCTTGCCCCTGTGCATTTCTTTCCCTCAGGAATCTTCCGGGGCAGACTGGCTGATCAAAGACCGGATTCTGATCTTAATATCATCCTAATTTTAAGGTTGAGTTCTTTATTTTTGAGAAAGAAACATAACACATTCTACTTCCATATTTTAAATCTTGAGAACATAAAATTCTAATAACTGAAACAAACAAAAGTCTGTTAGTTCTATATTATGGCCAGTTATGATAGAGCAATAAAAAGAGAAGGAAAAGAAGCTGGAAATTAAGTTTCTGAAGATATTCCCATATTAATGCCAGAAACACCCAGCTTTATATACATGGCAAAAATAAAAAAGATATACATGAAGAGCAGGAGATAAACATAGAAGACAGAGAACCAGGGCAAAAGGAAATAGGAAGACTCATTATCTTTATTTAACTGTATAACGTCATTATTAAAGGGAAGGGAATCGGCAAACTTTTTTCTGTAAAGGGCCAGACAGGAAATATTTTAGGCTTTGCGGTGGGGCAACGTGCAGCTTCTATATTCTGCTGCTGTAGCACAAACACATGTAAATGAATTGAGTTGGGGAGGCTGTGTTCCAATAAAAAAATTTTTTTAACAAAAACATTTGGTGGGATTTGACCCACAGGCCATATTTTTTTTTTTTTTTTTTTTTGCGGTACACAGGCGTCTCACCGTTGTGGCCTCTCCCATTGCGGAGCACAGGCTCCGGACGCGCAGGCTCAGCGGCCATGGCTCACAGGCCCAGCCGCTCCATGGTATGTGGGATCTTCCCGGACTGGGGCACGAACCCATGTCCCCTGCATCGGCAGGCGGACTTCCAACCACTGCGCCACCAGGGAAGCCCTACAGGCCATATTTTGCCCAGCCCGTTTATAGGAATGGAAAGTACAAACAGTCCAGTGTTACTTTTTTTTTTTTTTTTTTTTTTTTTGGCTGCGTCGTGGTGGTGGGGACTGAACCCGGGCCATGGCAGTGAAACCGCCGGAGTCCTAACCACTGGACCCCCAGGGAACTTCCCAGTATTGCTTTCTTATACGAAAGCAGCCTTAACATTTACTAAATCCCTGAGAAGTACCAATTAAACTCAACTCAACATCTGCTGAACTTCTAATAGAAGTACCATTCAAACTCATGCTTTTACAATTTTTTAACAGATAAACTGAACATACAAAACACGGTATATATGGCCAAAACTATTTTTATGCATTTACATTTCTATAATGGTTGAAAACATAAGTCCTTAAAAATTGGTCTAGCCTTATTATATGCAAAAACACAAAACAACACAAAAATCCTATGAGCTTGTCATATTTCATTTTGCAAAAGACTGCCACTAAAGGCTTATTGAGTGCCTATCGGGTAGAAATGCACAACGTTAGATACCTCCTCTACAAGTCTCCACTTCCCCACACCAGTTCTCATAACTCTATCAGAAGGCATGTACCCTATGGTGGTATCTGAATTTTCAACCATTTCCAGGATTACAAGAGGAGTGACACTGACCTAAGCACCTAAGTAGGAGACATTTCCTACTGGTAGGCACTGAGCATTTCCCCTCGGTAACTTTGGGAAACAAGGTGCTCCTGCCCAAGCTCCCTCACCTCTTTATTCTGCTGAGTTTGCTGCCACCTCCAGCGCCGTTTTAATGCTTCCTTCTCCGCTCCCTTCTCCATTAGTGCGTACAAAGCTTTCCGTAGCATCAAGTCTCGATCATGGAAACCCCACATCCCTATGGCAAGAAAACATTATGGTTAAGACACCCTACCTCGACTCAACTCCACTCATTAATTATGATACACAGACCCTGGCATGAAGGAAATCAGGCTGAAGCCCAGGTTCAAAGAAACCCCTGCTGTGACTTGGGGGAAAGGTAATCAAGAAAGAAAAGATGTTCCTATTCTGGAGGTTCAGAAACTTTGAGAACCTGAAAGTGGGGGATATACCACATCCTACAGACTCCTGACAAGAAGCCTTTACTCGTGATACCAAGTCTAACAAATTAAAATACAGAGTGGGAATTCCCTGGCCATCTAGTGGTTAGGACTCCTCACTCTCACTGCCAAGGGCCTGGGTTCGATCCCTGGTCAGGGAACTAAAATCCCATAAGCCTCGTGGTGCGGCCAATTAAAAACAAATTGTTTTTAATAAATAAAGTAAAATACAGAGTAGCAGCAGATAAGATGGGTCTGGCACATGGTAATCAGCATCAAAGCTTGAGGGGTGGTTGGAAAATGGGGACTTTTTTTAAAAGCTAAGGCAAATAATATATTGAATTATAAATAGGCATAACAATTTAAAGAAAACAAGTCAATAATTATGTAATATATTTGTATGGTGACAGATGGTAACTACACTTAACATGGTGATCATTTTGAAATATATAGAAATATTGAATCGCCATGTTGTGTGCCAGGGTATAACAGTGTTGTAGGTCAATTATACTTCAAAAACAAACCCACAGAAAAAGAGATCAGATTTGTGGTTACCAAAGGCAGGGGGAATTGGATGAAGGTAGTTAAAAGGTACAAAGTTCCATTTACAAGACTATTGAGTAATAGGGGTACAATGTACAGCATGATAAATATAATTACACTGCTGTACATTATATATGAAAGTTGTTAAGAGAGTAAATCCTAAAAGTTCTCATCACAAGGAAAAAAGCATTTTTTCTATCTCTTTAATTTTGTATCCATGAGATGATGAATGTCCACTAAACTTATTGTAATCATCTCATAATGCATGTAAGTCAAATCACTATGCTGTATAAAACTTATACAGTGCTGTATGTCAATTATATCAATAAAACTGGAAGAGAAAAAAGAAAGAAGAAGAAAAATACATTATTCTAGATTAGACATACATTAAAAAATAATAATAAACAAGTTTCACAGGGGACTGATGAAAACGTATCTTTTTTATATACCAAAAGAATAAATACTTAGTGGAATTATATGCATACACATACAGTATACTGCTTACTTACTGCTGCGCATTACTTCTGGGGGCCAGTTCTCCGAGTGGGACTTGTGCTAAATCCTATGTACTCCATACGATTTCTCAACAAGACTGAAAAACTAGGGCAGGGCTCTCTTCCATCTCCTCCTGCACCAGTGAGCATGCACGCACACACACACACACACACACACACACACACACAGCCTTGCTCTGAGCCATCACTTCTGTCTGAGATCAAGAATAGTCGGATCAAGCCCTTCACACGAGATTTAACTACTGCTTCCTTTCTATGAGGGAATGAAGGACCATTTTCAAGACTCACCAAGAGAGGCTGCGTGCAAGAGGCAGTTTCCATCTCCAGTAGTTGCTAAAGGAAGGAGCCTCTGACAGGTGGGGTCCACACTCACCCACCAGTTCAAACGCCCTACAGAAACAGGACGAAAAGGAGAGCAGCAGATGATGCATGAAGTTCTCCCTACTTCCCTATTTCTAAAACAGACTCCTAATTTGCCTCCTCTAGGAAGCCTATCCAAAATCAAACCATCACTCTATTACTCTGTGTATCTTCTTCACTTATATCTGCTTCATCAGAATCTGGTGAGCACAACTGGTTAGATCAGTTCTTAAGTAGGGACAATTTCGTCTCCAAAGGGACATTTGGCAACATCTGGAAATATGTTTGGTTGTCACAAGTGGTGGGGAGATGCTACTGCCATCTAGTGGGTAGAGGCCAGGAAGGCTGCTAAACACAATATAATGCACAAGGCAGCTCACACAACAAAGAATCATCTGGTCTTAGGTGTCAGTAGTGCTAAGATTGAACAACCCTGGGTTAGATGATGAGGCCTAGGTCATAGGTCGAAATCTGTGTTGGCTACTTGGTCTGGCTCTGATTTCTTCACTCTGGTCAAGAGACCAGCAGACACTGTAGCAATAAAGGTCAGCACAAATCCATCATCAGTAAAAGAAAAACAACCCAACATGTATATTCAAAGTGTCATGCAAGTATCATCTGCATATATGACAGTAAGCATGTCACCATGTATGTGGTACGACTTTAAAGACATGAGCAATAAGACAAAGTACTTAAAATACCCAAGAAAATGATTCTCAATTCTGTAGTCATCCTATAATTGCTGATCCATTACTTATATAAGGAAAATAATTTATGAATAATGCTTAAAAGTTTTTTTGAATTACTGGACAGTCTACTGAAAGAAAAACTGGCCTATAATCACAGCAGTCAGATAAACTGCTTACTACTTAAAAAACTGTAAATAGATGCACATGATTAGTATAGAAGGGCACAAAATGAAAAACAAGACCTTCCTTTCTGTGCCCCCACCTCCCACCCACCCCGTCCTTCTTCCATGGGAGGTTTTTAATAACTGACTAGCTTTCCCAGAAATCCCAGCTGCCTCATCCCAACATACCAACAAATTTTAAATATAATTTAAGACAAACATAATTGTAAAGGTAAATAAATCTTTTGGGAAAGGTTCGTATAAATAAATGTGACTTAGTTTAATCACCACTTGCATCATGTACAGCACTGGTTCTTGGAACCAACCATCTACAGCACTGGAACACACAAGGTGTTCCAGAGCCAATTATAATTCATTTGTATTTTTTTCATGTATTGATTTTTAGGTATTGATTTGTAGGCCTTTCACATGTGTATCTGGTTTCCCTTCAATCAAACAGGAAATTTCCAGAGGAAAGTGTCTTATTTGTGTCCTTTCTTTAACTTGAAGAAGCACCTAGCTCAGTACATGTCTCTCTGACTGACTGCCAAGTTTGACTGCAGTCAATCAGATCGCAGGCTTAGACTGGAAGCCGCTTGTCAAGCCCAGCCCCTCCACATGGCTGCCTAGACGTGGAGAGCAGAGGGAAGAGCATGGGAAAGAAAGTGCTCACTGACCTGCCTGCTCCAAGGCAACCAGCATGGACTGCTCAATGAGGTCTCTCTCTATGAAGCTGCGAAAGTCTTCATTGTACACAGTGAGATCTGGAAGCTGGAAGGCACAGATGGGCATTTCCAGGGGGTGCTCACTGCTCCCCCCACCCCCACCATTGGAGGAGACATGGGACCGGGCCAGGGAAACAATGCTGGAGCTGGCGTGGGAGATGCCCCTAGACAGGCGTTTTTCTGCAATGAGAAATGGAGTCACCTTAGAACAAACACAACCCACTCAGAGAACTTTCCACTCATGAGGTGATGGTTACCTCTTGACAAGGTTTCCAGTCAGGGAAAAACTGTAAGTCTAACTGGCTACCAAATTTCATGACCCTCTTTCTCATGCCAAACACAGTTGGAGAAACATAGAAAGTGGCCTTTTCACAGGCACTCGCATTAGCACCAAATATACGTTCCTCTTTCTACCCTTTTGCCTGAACTTCTCTCCACGACACTGTCTTCTTCCACTTCCATTTCCCAACATAATAGGGACCCTTCATTTGGCAACTTAGTCATTGTTTGGTGGGAGGAAGAGGGAATAAGGGAAATGGAGTTTCATTTGGCTACACTGAGTCAAATAATCTCTCTGATAATTTTCAGGGCCTTGGAGAATGTAGAAAAGGATTTCCGTTATAGAAAATTAATGACAAATCTTACACATTCAGGAACTTTCTTATCTACCATCAATAACATTTATTTACGTTATTTACTACAACTATTCTTGATGCTCATATTTATCAGAAATTTATAGGTACAGTCAATTCTTACTTAACATTCTACAGAGGAAGGCGGTAATATAGATAGTGCCCCAAATTATTTCATTTGTTTTGAATACATGGCACTTATAATTCTCCAGCAGATATTCCAGTGTGATAATAATTTGCTCAGTATAGTATTGAAATTCATTTGCATGGCTTGAGTTATATAATGACTATCAGAAAGAGCTAAAAATTATATTGGGTATCAGGTCTTAATCCAATATCTGCCAGGGATGATGCACAAAGTAAGTAGTTAGTCTAAAGTTATTTTATAGTGTTATTTTTTAAACTCTTTTTAAAGGTATTTTAAAAGTACCACATGCCCATGGTAAAAAATCAAAATACTACCAAAAGGTTTGAAGTGTTACAAAGAAATGTCCCTCTCATTCAAAATTCCTGATCCCTTCCCCAGAGGCGATGTTTTGTATCATTCTAGAATTTTTTTGCCATGCCGTGCGGCGTGGTATGTGGGATCTTAATTCCCCAATCAGCGATTGAACCCGTGCCTCCCTGCAGTGGAAGCACGCAGTCCTAACCACTGGACCACCAGGGAATTCCTAGAATTTTTTATGCACATAGAAGCACAAACAACTTTTATAACAATTTTTAAAAACATAAACAGGAACATGCTATATATATTGTTCTGCATCTTACCTTTCTCAATAGATTTTAGAGATTTTTCCAAAATAGCACATCAAGTTCTACTTAATTGTTTCTAATGGCTGCCAAGTATTCCATAATATGGATGATTACAATTTATTTAACCACTCCTCTATTAATGGATAATTAAAAGTTGTTTTCAAGCTTTAACTTTTAAGCTTTACACTACATGTCTTTATGTCTATTTATGAATTAGGTAAGTATGTATTTATTTAAAAGGATACACACCACACACAGACACACACACACACAACACATATATGATAAATTCCTAGAAACAAAATTGCTGAGATAGAGTATACGTGCATTTAAAAATTTTGACAGATACTAATAAATATTAACAAAATATCCTCCAAAGGGGCAGATGATAGTGATCCTTTGAATTCTATCTTTATGTGTACCTTATCTCAACAATTAGATCGTTATTCTTCTTCCTCTATCTCTTTGAAGATGGCATTTATACAGGATGGCACTCAAGATGCAGAAAGTGAGGGGTTCCAGCATCTGGACAGACTGTCACCTCTGATCATTTGGTTGGGGAGGTGGGGGAGGAATGGAATCATCTCTAAAGGATCACTAAATTCTCTGACTGGTCAGCAGCTGCCTCCCTTTCTTTCTACTCTGCATATGGAAACAGCCCTCAGCACCCCAATACCTTGAACGATGTCATCTTGCCGCTGTAGGGTGGGTCGGGGAGGGCGAGTAGACTCTCTATCAGAAAACCCTTTCTCAGGGGTCCTGGAGCCACCACTCCCCTCACTAAAGGGTGGGGGCAGGTTCCCAGCATGGACCTGACGTAGCTGTTCAAAATCACTGAGGGCGGCGCTCACATCCCAATTCTTTCCTGTCAGGACACAAAGCAAAAAGTGAATTGGGAGCTGAGAGTATAGAAAAATTGAGGAAAGATACAGAACCATCATTCTAAGCATCTTATCAAAACCAGCGAGCATATACTCATGCGTACCTCAGTCATTCTCCTTTTCCTTCCCCTACTTTAATTTCCTTCATAACACTTCGATCTGGAATACCACAACTTCTTTATTTACTTATTGTCTATTTCCTAAGAAATCCCTGTGTGCATACAGAATTTGTTTCTCTGAACTGAAAGGGCCCTTGGAGACCTAGTAACCTCATTTTACAGATAAAGGAAATGAAGCCTAAAGAAGTAGAGTTACTTGCCCAAAGTCACCGGTAGTTCACACCAGGGCCTCAGCTGGACTCAAGCCCAGGTCTCCTAATTCTGAGATCCAGAGAGTTCTGAGCCTAGATGTGCTCTGGGGTGTCCTAAACCACCTGAAACTGTATACAAAGTTATAGGTATGTGTGTTCTAAAGAAAGAGCTGATAGCTGCCATCAGGTTATCAAAGGGAATTGTTAATTCCCCTCAAATTTAAGAATCACTACTCTGCTGAAGAAAACACCCGAAGGATAGATTTGTCACAGCAGATTTTTCAGTTGCTTTCTCCAGTTAAATTAGTCAATAAATAACATATTGCATAATTGTTCACACTTCTTTCTGTTCTATTCCATTTGTCACCACCTTAATTCAATTCCTATATCACCTAGTGTCCCACCTCCAATCTACTCTAAAGGATCCCATGAGATTAATCTTTCTACAGCACAATTCTGATCATTTCAGTTCCATAATCAAATTTTTAGTGGCTTACCACTACCTACAGGATAAAGTTTAGCCTCCTTTGTCTGACGTTCAAGGCTTTCTATGACCTAGCTTACTTTTCTAACCTTTCCTCTGTGCTTCAACTTCCCTGGCTATGAAAGTGGAAGTGATACCACATAGGATTGTTAAGAAGATTAAATTAACTGAAAGCACTTAAAACAGTGCTTGGCACACAGAAAGTGTTATATATGTATTTACTGCCATTGCTGTTATGCTTCTTGTTATAATTATAATTCTCCAGTTAAGCTGTATTAATCATCCATGCCAGATGAATTTATTTCTGAACCATTAGATTCATCACTTGCTCCAACTCCCTTTGCTCACTCTACACTCTGCGTCAGTCATACTGGCCTCTTTGCTGTTCCCAGAAATGTGCTAAGCTTGCTCCCACCTACAGCCTTTCCACCAACTATTCCCACTGCCTAGAAGGCTCCTTCTCCAATATATCTACACAATTCCTCATCTCCTTCAGATATTTGCTCAAATGTCACACTCTTAAAAAGGCCTACCCTGACTACCCAACTAAAAATCACAACCTACCTCATTATTCCCCTTACCATTTTCCACAGCACCTAACACCTTATACTATGTACTTTACAACTTACTTGGTTATCATGTTTATTGTTTATTGACTATCTCTCAGGCTAGAATGTAAGGGCAGAGATTTTTGCTTGTTTTGTTTTGTTCAAGCATCTAGAACCTAGTACATAATAGGTACTCAATAAATATTTGTTAAAGAGTGGAGGACTTTTGTTCTGAACCAATGAATGAATAAATGATTTGTCTTGAGCACTGGATAGTTATCTCCAACTGTCTGCTAAAGTCCTTAAAATCAGGTCCTCCTAACAGTCAACATGTCTAAAACTGAACGTCCATCATCTTCCCTCCTAAAGCCTGCTTCTTCTCCTTCTTCTATAGTCCCTAAATCAGTAATGGCATCACAACCCCTCCAGGCCAGAAACTACAGTCATTTCAGCTCTTCACCATTCCTCAGACCCCACTCCTTCTCTTCCCTCACTATCTACTCAGTTCTCAAGGTGGTTTGTACCCTTGAGACATTTCTCAAATCTATTCTTTCTTGTCCATTTTTATTGTCACTACCCCAATTCAGGTCCTCATATTTTCACCTGGTCTTTTGGGAGGGGGCTCCCTAGTCTCTCTACTCTTAGTCCCCTCCCCTCTATAATTTGTTCTTTACACTACAACCAGGGTTAACTTTCAAAGGAAAAAGCAAGAGACAGAAAGATAGAGACAGAAAATGAGGATCAGATCCTTTGGTTCCCTTTCTAAATTATACCTTAAATCTACCCACTTCTCACTCTGCTGTTACCACTGTAGTCCAAGTCACCATCACCTCTCACCTGAACTATGGCAACATTCTTAACTGATCTTACCACTTCATCTCTGGCCACCTTCCAATCGGTTCCATATCTTTTATCAGTACACTGTTCAGAAACTCAAACCCAATCATTTCTCTCCCCTGATTAAAATCCTTCACCAGCTTCCCACCGAACATACACTGAAATGCACAACCCTTACCACGGCCTACAAAGGCCCCCCATATTCTGCTTCCTGCTTATCTAACCAGCTTCCTACCACTCTTTCTTGTACTACTCTTCCTACCTCGCTCACTATCAGTGCCAAACTCTCTCCCACCTCAGGGTCCTTGTATAAGCTACTTTTTTTTACATAAACACTCTGTGCTACATCCCTTTGTCTTGCTACTCCTGTGCATCCTTCTGTGTTCAGTTCACATGTCACTTCTTCAGAAAAAGCCTTTCTGAACTCTATATCCAAATTAGGTTTCTCTCTTAAACTTCCACAGCACCCTCAACTTTTCTTTCATAGTATGAGTGTGTGTGCACATGGGTGTGTATGAGAGAAAGAGAGACGACATGCAAGCATTAACTTGTAACACACTTGTTAAAAGCCAGACTCTGAAACCAGATGGCCTAGGTTCAAATCCTACTTAACTTCTTGGACCTCAGTTTTTAAGCTGTAATACTGGGATAATAAAACCTATTTTGCAGAATGGTTGTGAGAATAAAGTAATATATTTCAAGTGCCTCACACATATTGAACACATAGAAGTGTTCAACACATGTTACAAGAGGAAGAGAAGGCATTTGAGCTGAATCCGGAAGGATGAGGAAAATTTCAAGAGAATAATGGAGGAAAGGACACTGCAGACTTAGGAGACAACTTAATATGATCAGGGAAAGGAAACAGGTCAGGCCTGGCTGGAGCACAGGAACCGTGGGAGAAGGTAGTAGGAGATGAAACTGAAAATACAAGTTAAGGGCAAAGCCATACTGAATTATCAAACTAGAATTTAAACCCTGATCTTCCGTTTCCAAACCAACCTTATTCTCACAGGTGCCTAAGTAAATGTCATATTGCCACACCTTACTAAGGGCTGACAACCTAGAAAATTACCTATGTGTGCTAAGAACTTGCTCCTTCCCCCACAGGCTCACCTATTTGCGTCATTATATATTTTCACCAAAAAGCATCTGTTAACTATGACTCCAAACAAAGAATCCTACTGACATGAGGCCAAGCCTTAAAGGACCTTAAAATCTAGAACATTCACACGTATGTATACATACAGATATAAGTAAACAAAAGCAGCTAAATGAAAACATTAAATTAATCCACTCTATATAGAATGACCCATACAAGTTAGGGAAGGAAAGACAAAAAACATGAATGATCCCAAATATGAAAATCTAATCATTTATACATAAAAAAGAAGTCTTACAGATCTAAAATTATGGTTTTAGTGGATTAATTATTAGTGGACTAATATCAAATTTCACTTGCATTACCTGAGCTTAAATTGACAGTGGAGAAAGCTACCCAAAAATTCAAGGTGAAAAGGGAATTTTGCATTTTAAAATTATGGTGGGTAATACACAAAGTAGATTATTAGAAGTAACTTAAATGTAAGTGTCTTTCTGTTCACCTTAAATGTTCCAAATCATCCTAACAATAAATATCACATCTTATTTTCTCTCTTCTCATTCTCCCCCAAAGACTCCTTACCTTCCAGGAGATCTCGGGCCAACCCTGGCTCTGCTCCTGTGGAACGGACAAAATCTGACAGGACAGCATCCATGTCCAGGGTCATGTGATCATTAAGTACTTTCAGGCAGCTGATGTAGGGAGGACATAGATCAAAATTCAGGCCTCCACCTGAGGAGGAAATAAACACATAAGGCCCAAATTACACTGGAACGGGATGATCATAGCCCAATTTCAGCAGCTTCCTAACCAAATGGGGAAACTAACTATCCTAGCTCATTCATTTCAGTAGAATTTATTATAAAGAGTAACATTTAGTTTCCTAATTTCTCATTAACATTAGTTTTTTTTCCTTTTATTATATAAGTTTCAGGTGTCTAGCATTACAGTTCAACATCTATAAACACTACAGTGATCACCATCACAAGTCTAGTTACCATCCATTACATACAGTTCACCCACTTCACCTATATTAATTTCTTAACTACTACATTAACCACAAAACCATAATACCACTCCAAATAATGCTCTTCCTCTACCTTTCTAGAGTATTACATTTCTAGCCATCAGTTTGCTTATCCAAACTAATGGAAGGAAGCAGCAGACTACCACCCTGAAGAATTCCCCCCCCCTGCATTATTCTCTTACATAGCGCCTGTTTATTTCCTTCTTGGCACTTGATATACCCTGAAATTATTTTAGTTGGTTGCTGTCTAGCCTCCTCCTCCAACGTAAAAGTTTCTTGAAAGTACAGAGCTTGTGTGTTTTGTCCACTAATGTATCCCCAGCATGTATCCCTTGGCACAGTGCTTGGCACACGGCTCTCAGCAAACATTTTACTGAATGAATGAATACTATACACTGAGTAACTTTAGAGTTGACTAGTACTCTGATGCTAGCTGAGGAAATGGGAGGAGCAAACTGATATCTAAACTTAATCAAAATAGGGACTTCCCTGGCGGTCCAATGGTTAGGACGCTGTGCTTCCACTGCAGGGGGCATGGGTTCGATGCCTGGTTGGGGAACTAAGATCCCACAAGCCGAGCAGCGTGGCCAAAAAAATTTTTTAAAATAAGAATACTCAAAATAAAACAATCTGCGATTATGCAAAGCAGAGTGGAGATCCCAAAGGTTCATAACAAAAGTCAATCTTTGTCCACTAACTTCATGAACCCAGGAAACATGCCTTTCTCCACTCAGGACAAATGACCACCAAGTAAGTTCACCTGAAAAAGATCGCTTCTTTCAGACTTGACTTTGGCAGAAACTATGTCCCTGACCTGTCGGCCTGGCACCAATCCACATTCCTCTGAAGTTAGCAGTCCCAGCGGAGGGAGCAATAACCGAGTGAAAAACAACTTCTCACCAAAATCTGCCACTTCAGACAGGTTTACAGTTCTCTGTAAAAGAGGACTTGTTGGTAAAGTCACCAGGCACATACCTGCCCCACCAAACCCACCAGTCCCCTGCTTTGGCGGAATGCCAAAAGTAGAGTTCTCAAAGGCAACAGAGTGGCTCAGATGACTGTCTCTTCAGAAGCATCTCCTTCTAAACAACCTAAACTCTAAGGGTGATTATCAGGTACTTTTTCATCACACCTCCCCTGACCCCAAGACACAGATTCTTTAGTGGTGTGATCAGATCCTAATTATCTAAATTCCTTAGAAATAGTAAGGCAAATAAAAAGCAGTGATCTGTGGGTTATAAAACCAGTAGGCCACTAACTTAGTAACTTCATGTAAAAATTTTTTTTTTTTGGAGAGAGATGGCAAAATATAAAGTATTCCTTCTTGTACTGTTCCATGAGTACAAGAGGTCCAGGAGCAGAGGGACATGTTTAATTCCTATTCGTGCCGCAACATCTAGCACAGCATCTACATTACTGTCGATAGTCAATAAACGCCTGATGAATAAATGATTAAATGACTAACTGAACCTCCACATCAGCCACCACCAAACCAATCAATTTGAGGCTTAACTCAGAAGATCAGAAATGTGAGAGTGGGACTTCCCCGGTGGCACTGTGGTTAAGAATGCGCCTGCCAATGCAGGGGACACGGGTTCAATCCCTGGTCCGGGAAGTTCCCACATGCCGCCGAGCAACTAAGCCTGTGCACCACAACTACTGAGCCTTCACTCTAGAGCCCGCGAGCCACAACTACTGAGCCTGCAAGCTGCAACTACTGAAGCATGCGCGCCTAAAGCCCATGCTCCACAACAAGAGAAGCCACCGCCGTGAGAAGCCCGCGCACCACAACGAGAAGTAGCCCCCGCTCACCACAACTAGACAGAGCCCGCACCCAGCAATGAAGACCCAACACAGCCCAAAATAAATAAATAAAAACAAAAATAAATTTTAAAAAAAACATAAAAAGAAGAGAAATTCAAGGGTACTTCATCTTTCACATCACCCCACTATTTCTAATGGTCTGTCCCAGTCCCAATCCATCTCTCAAAGTTTTACAAACTTTCCTTTCTAAAGAGACATCAACATACTGACACTTCCACCACCCTCGTATCAGAAGAGTTCTACCTACACTTATATATATTAGCTGGGTGACTTTGGTCAAATTACTTACAGGGTGTCAGTTGCTTCTTGTATATCCTAGACTTGGATTCGATGACTTCTAAGATTCTTCCCAGGTTTAAAAAATGAACTTCTTTAGTTCACTACAGCCTCAGAAACCATGATCCTTACATTCTCTTTTGGTCTGCATATTATCAATGTCTAATTTACTTCCATTTTAATATCACAACTGTCAGAAAAGACTACCATTACATAAAGAACTTTTGGCCTGAGATACCTCAAATTCAAAATGTTGTTGTTTTTAAACAACTTAGTTCCTCAGATAAAATACTTAACAATTAAATTCCTTCAAAATTCACAGATGAATGAGTGGTTTCCCTTTCCTCTAATACAGACAAGAATTCCTTCTTCAAGCCCATTTTAGTCACTGTCTTAGGTCACAGGGCATGGTAGCAGCCCAAATAACTTAAACACATGAATAATCTAAAACCAAGAGCACAGCTGCAAAATGAATTTCAACCTTCTCTCTTAAAAAAACATGCAAAGGAACTTGGTAAAGCCACTCTAATAACTTACTGAAAGGATGTGGGAAATATACAGTAAGTACACAAATAACAATCAACAAAAAGGTACTCAGCAGAAGAGAGGAGCTGATTAAGCCACAGGCTTATAGGCAATTTCCCAGCCAGCCAGAGGCTTTTGAGTGAGAGAAGCCAATGAAAACCATCGATGTCATGGCATCGTAGACCTCATATGCCAACGTAGTAGGATATTCTTTTAAAAAAATATTTTTAGGGCTTCCCTGGTGGCGCAGTGGCTGAGAGTCCGCCTGCTGATGCAGGGGACGTGGGTTCGTGCCCCGGTCCGGGAGGATCCCACATGCCACGGAGCGGCTGGGCCCGTGAGCCATGGCCCCTGAGCCTGAGCGTCCGGAGCCTGTGCTCTGCAGCGGGAGAGGCCACAGCAGTGAGAGGCCCACATACAGAAAAAAAATGGAAATAAAAAAGTTTTAAAATAATATTTTTAAAAAATAATTTCCAAAAAAAAAAAAGAATTAATTCTGAGTAAGTCATCTGAAAAATAAATAAATAAATAATTTCAAGGTCCAACATTATCTAGAATGACTTGCTCAAAAATTCGAAGCACTAAACCAAACTTCTTGGCAGCCCATTCTTATATTTGATGTCTCCAGGTGCATGGCATGGACTCCACCCTAAGCCCACCCAACAGGTGAGGACTGCAGCTTTTGTTACATCACCACCAACACCTGGCTTGAGCTTCTTAAATTCCAAATGGGAATATCCAAGGCAATGACTAAGACTCATAGTCCTTGACTCAGCACACAGGAAGGAAAAAAAAGAAAACAAAACACTGGCTTTCAAAATGAAACAGAAGAGGTACTCAAATATTTGTTGATTGAATGGTGTTTAGACAAATCTAAAATGGAGTCAAAATCCTCCAACCTTCCAATTGGTGGGACTTTCGCAATTATTTAAACCAATGTCTGCCCCAATGCAAGAATCCTTCTATTACATCTCTGACAGACAAATCATGCAGTCTCCACATGAATACAAGCTCTGATGGAGACTCATTTCTTTGCCACAATGTCCATTTTATTGTTGGACAGCTCTAATTGTTAGAAAATGCTTTTTTAAACTAAATCACCAGCCCCCTCTCTCTCTCACATAATGGTCCTTGATCTCTTCTCTAGAACAATAAAATCTACTCCCAGGAATGATGGAATTTTCATGGAAAAGGAACAGATAAAGCATTTCTTTCCATAAAAATGTGTTGTAGGTCAACACTGCAATGTTATCATAAGCCAGCCAGTGCCTCTTTTTTTCTTTTACAAAGTTCTTCCTTATATCAATACTTGCTTTTACCTGTATTCATTCATAAATGTTTATGCTGACCCTACAGTACAAACTCAACAAGTGGAATAAATGAAGTCATGTACCTTGTTCAAAATTCACTTCTGCTGCTATCTTTGCCTCTCATCCCTATTTCCACACTTTCATGCCCTCTTGAAGTGATGACAGCAATCAAGAATAAAAACTAACAAGTTAATATTAAGTAAGCACTTTCAAAAACACTATCTTATTCATTAACAACAAAACCCCTAGAGCAGGCTTATTATTCCCAGTTTACAAGTAGAGAAAGGTATAAGGTTTGAAAAGTCAGGTGGGTTACCCAAAGTCTGAACCCAGATATTTTGAACACATGCTCTCTCTACTGTACCATGCTGCTTCCCTAGGGACTAAGTCATTACTGATTCCCAGAACTGCACTGATTCTTATCCATTCAATTCTTTCACCATAGGAAAGGGCTGTGCCTATCTCTCAGTGTTTATTAATGACTTAGACACCTGCCTTATATTTTCCTCAGTTCAAAGCCTACCACCTTCCTGAGCAATTTCAACACCCACCTGCATAATCCATCCAACATTTCTGCCTTAGAGTTTCATAACCTCATCAAATGCAAAGACCTCCATCTCCACTTCAACAACTCAGTCCTGGACCCTGCCATGCCCTGAAACCATTCCACCTCTAAATCTTCAACTCCTAACATCTTACTCTGTCTACAACCTCATCTCCCTCCAGCTTTCCCTTACTACTAAACCTGCTACCTCACCTCAAGACATCCT